ATGAAAGAAAGTTTTAACTTCTAAAAACTACAATCTGGATGGGATGGTTCTTATGGATCATCTAGCTAGATTTTCCTATTTGAATTGGGCTTGATTAGCTTTAAAGTAGTTCTCTAATGGGCTAAGTAAGTACAAATGACAAGTCAAGCTTCACTCGTTTAATAGTATCAAATAACATGGGATGGCAAGAAATACCCAACAAATTAAGGTTAAGAACTTCTCCTAAACGAAGTTTAAATTATTCTACCATTTCGAGCAAATAGACAATAATAATCTTACGACAAATGTAAATCACGCTCTAAAACACGATACATTGAAATGGACAAATACCAAACATTAGTATATATGCTCATGCATTCATAACTTGTTTTTGAAACTCTGCTAATGCTAATTCTTTTGAGGCCCCTTCTAATTTATGTAACATTCAAATGCTGATACTTTCTGCTCAAACTTCATAAAAGGAATGCAACGTATAAATATATTGCCGAGACCATTTTTACTTATAGAGATATTCCTCAACGTGATATAAATTTCACTTGACAAAATAGTTTCAAACGGGGACTATTCCTAATTTCTGCCCATATATTTTATTTATTGCTTCAATTTGATGGTAAACTTTCTTTTCGCATCAGTTGAGAAGCTCTGCCCTAGCGCTAAAAAAATCTCGGTGAGGTAAAAACTTATCAAGGTAGTAGCTAGTTCGAGAGATGATCGGTCACACTAGAATCGAGACACAGTTCAGACTCCTAGGATGAGCAGTGGGAAATTTTCCTCGATGGCGATAGCCTAACGGAGTAATGGCGCGAAGTACTCTTGTGCACCTACATCATTTGACTCGCGACCAAGTCCATCCCATTATCTTATGGAAGAATAAGGGCAAAGTGGCCAAAGTGATTCAATAGACGATGTAGTAGTAGATCCAGCCATTACTATCAAAGCTATTGGACATCAATGGTATTGAACTTATAAGTATTCGGACTATAACAGTTCTGATGAAGAGTCGCTCACTTTTGATAATTATATGATTT